CCATTTCCAAATTTAGTTTAATTTCTTATCTGAATTGGGCAAATGCTATTCTAGCTGTAGTTAGCAGATGTGTTAATATGTACTTAATTTTCTTTGTATTATTCCCAATAGAAACATTTCGGGTTTGTATTTTATCTGTTCTCCTGTAATTTCTTGCACCCATTTCCAAATTTAGTTTAATTTCTTATCTGAATTGGGCAAATGCTATTCTAGCTGTAGTTAGCAGATGTGTGTTAATATGTACTTAATTTTCTTTGCATATTTCCCTTTGATTATTCCCAGTAGAAAGATTTCGGGTTTGTATTTTATCTGTTCTCCTGTAATTTCTTGCACCCATTTCCAAATTTAGTTTAATTTCTTATCTGAATTGGGCAAATGCTATTCTAGCTGTAGTTAGCTGATGTGTTAATATGTACTTAATTTTCTTTGCATATTTCCCTTTCATTATTCCCAGTAGAAAGATTTCGGGTTTGTATTTTATCTGTTCTCCTGTAATTTCTTGCACCCATTTCCAAATTTTTGTCCAATATTTTTCTGTTTCCGGGCAGGTCCACTATATGTGATAAAAGGTCCCTTGTACTTTTTTACACTTCCGTTCTCTTTTCAAACTGGTTTTGGCCTCCTGCTTCTCTTGTCACCAAGGGACATCCAGGACTCAAGCAAATAAACAAGGCCAGCAATAATCGTGTTCCCAAGGTCCTCACAAACACTCGGTGGTGTGTGTGCGCCTGCTGAGTTTATTCTTCTCTTTCTCCCAGTTCCCCACCCTCCAGGGGTGGGTTCCAGATCCCGTCGCAATCGGTAAGCTGCGTACAAAGCCGGGCGTCCTAGTTGGGCACGCGCGCTGCGCACGCATGGACATGCCACTGCCCTGAGACACCCAGCTGCTCGGCGGCGGTCGTGCAGGCGTGCGTGCACAATTGGCCGGTCGCATTATCAACAGCTACGGAAAGCAGGCGGGCGGGCGGGCCAAACGAGCCAGCGTACCAGTACGGTGGCCGCTACTCCCAGTACGGCTGTACCACCGGGAACCCACCACTGCCCCCCTCCCATAAAGAGGACGGAGATCCTGAGCACACATACTACCCAGCTGGGGGAAGGGAGGGAGGCTGGATTGAGAAGCGAAACTGACCCGAGGCCAGACTGGGGTTTCAGGGTCTCAGCAGTGAGGTCTTTCCTCCCTCCTCCCTTGGGAGTATTTTTAACTATCCTAACGAAATAGCTAACTATTTAACTAGGATTAAAGCTAGCCGCCCCCTTGGCAAGGAACAAAACTCCTCCCCAGGTGCAGGCTGGGTCCACCTGGCTAAGCCACCAAGTGAAAAGCTGGAAAAGACTCACAAACAGCCGGATGAAAAGTAAACAGGGGGGGAGTCCGTGGAACTTCCTGGCCAAGGAACAGGTGCCCATAAAAAGCCACAAGGACCATCACAAGGTGGAAGATGCTGCCTGCCAGCAGGTTTGGTTGGAGGAAGCCCAGGGAACACCCCCTCCCTCTTTGCGGCATAGTCCTCCCCCACCAAACACACACACACACATTTTCCCCAGCTGCAAGCCACCAAGCGCAATGAAAATGTTTGCAGCCCAGAGATTCATTGGCTCCCCCAGTCACCCTGGTCTCCTTGTTGGGAGAGCCTACCTGACGTTCACTCCCTTCCTTGGGCAAACGGACTGCTTCACCTCTGACCTGGAGGTGTGGGGGATTTTCCTGTCCTTAGGCCCATTTTTCTTCTAGGTAAACAAGCGGAGGGGGGTGTTGAACCATCTCCTACTTTCCTGCAGCGGCCCGAAAGGATGAGCCGTTTCCTTGTTTGCTCAATTCTCTCCACGCCAAAAATGCCGCGCTCTCTCGCTCAATCCCTGTTTTACAGCCCAGGCATTGCGCAACACGCCGCACGGCTCACCGGGCCCCGCCGTGCTCTACATGGGGCTGCCCTTGAAGTGCATCCGGCGGCTGCAGTTAGTTCAGAATGCGGCCGCGCGAGTGATAGTGGGCGCACCGCGGTTCTATAAATCCAAATAAACTAAACTAAACTAAACTAAACTATCCCATTCGAAAAGGCGCAAACCATCAGGTCGCCACACACCCCCCCCAAGCTCAATTTCAGGAAACGGAATAGAATTTGCCACATTTTACAAAACTACAGGCCATCCGCCTGTCTAACCCGTGTTTTGCTGATGAGACGGTTACGTCTTTTAAGCCGAGGAGGCCCTTCGTTCCCTAATTAGTGAAGTGTTGCTTTTACTAGTAGGGAGTAAACCCCCGAGGTCAGGGAACGCCCAGGCGGTGAGGACAATCTGGAGGAAGTCGCCAGCTTCAATGACATCAGCCTGACTCAGGACGGACCCACCAAAAGCCACGCCAGAAGCTGAAGGAGACGCAGGACGAGGTCAACAGGCAGAGATCCATCTCTATCCTCTGAAGGCCTCTGATTTTTCCCATTGGGGTTTTGGGGTTTTGTACCCCAAGTAGGAGCCTGCCAGTGTCGGAGCATTCAGAACTTCTGGAGGCAAATTCTGTTCCACTGATTAATTCTTCTAACTGCCAGGAAATTTCTCCTCAGTTCTA